CACTTAGGAGGTGAAGCCAGGGGATCTCAAATTCAAGGTCTGGGTAATATTGTGAGTTCAAAGCCAACCAGAGCTCTAAACTGAGACTGTCTTAAAAACAGACATGAACTAGGAAGCTAAAAAGGCAAATATCCTCACGTGGAAGCTATGCGTGTATGCCCGCATGCACGCACGCACACATATGCCTGTAATCTGTCCTACTAGATTCACTTCAAAATTTCCTATAACCCTAATTTTCTACTCAGTTTTCATTTCATTATCATTGCGATGATGACCTGGGTGTCTCCTGTCTCTGATCAATTCCTACCTCCAGGTCATTGAGCAATAGTAAGAGGAAGCCATCAACAAGAGGATGGATTAAAACACCTGACTTGTTTAAATGGGGGCACAAAAGTACTGAAAATGCTCAACAAAAATTGAGAAAAGTATATGTCAGGGAGAAACCTAACTTTACCCCCTTTAGGTTTTTCTTGTTATTTTACAGTTTCGATTTATACCTTTCTCAAGGCCAGTCCCTTATGCCAGGACCATTTTTGCTTACCAATGTATCCCCACCAATCAGCTCAGCACATAAAACTGTACATGAAATATATTATTGCTGTTCAGAAAGAGAAACTCGTTGAAAAAAAAAAAACATTCTGCAGCCAAGCATTGCAATCCCACAAGTGTGGAAATGCATGCATGGAAATACCATTCTGAGCACTTCCCTGTGCAACTAACATATGCTGATAAAAAAAGATACCTCAAGCCAGTTATCTGTGGCTCACACCTGTAATCCTAGCTACTCAGGAGGCTGAGATCTGAGAATCATGGTTTGAGGCCAGTCTGCACAGGAAAGTCTGTGAAACTCTTATCTCCAATTAGCCACCAAAAAGCCATCACTGGAGGTGTGGCTCAACTGGTAAAGTGCCAGCTTTGAGCAAAAAAAAAAAAAAAGCCACGCAAGAGAAGGAGGCTCTGAGGTCAAGACCTAATACCTAGCATACATTTCTTTTAAAAATGTCTGTAGCTAAATGTGAGAAGAAATCTGAACTCAGAATCAAAAGATGTTGAACAGCCGGGCACCGTTGGCTCATGCCTGTAATTCTAGCTACTCAGGAGGCTGAGATCTGAGGATTGCAGCCAGCCCAGGCAGGAAAGACCATGAGACTCTTGTCTCCAAAAAAACACTCAGAAAACCGGAAGTGGTGCTGTGGCTCAAGTGGTAGAGCGCTAGCCTTGAGCTGAAAAGCTGAGGGACAGCGCCCAGGCCCAGAGTTCAAGCCCCACGACCGACCAAAACAAAAAAAAATGTTGAACAGTGTGTGTGTGTGTGTGTGTGTGTGTGTGTGTATATGTATGTATATGTATATTTGTGTAAACAAGCCAAGTGACTGGGTAAGTCTCACGCTAAAAAATCAGTTTCTAATCTATGAGGACGGTGACCAAAAATTGTCTCTAAAGTCTCTTGTATTGGAAAAGTCTTAAGCATTGCATTTTTCCAGGCATGGAAGTATCTGCCTGTAATCCCAACACTGGAGAGGCAGAGGTAGGAAGACTGGGAGTTCAAGGCCAACCTGAGTTACATAGTGAGACTTTGTCTCAAATAAAGAGAAAAAAAATGTATCCATGAAGTGATGTATATTGCTTATAATATGCGACCTATCCAAACATACTGAATGTAATATAGAAGAATGAAAGTGTAAAGTTCCCCTTCAATCATAACTATATGAGAATGCTTATATTATATAACAATAATGCTCTAGTAAGCAACTGATTCACGTTCAGTAGTATAAAAAAAACACTTTCCTGACCTCTCCTGGCCACAGATGGTAAAGGCAAAACTTTCTTTAGAGGAGAGGTCAATTATGCATAACCTTTTTTTGTGTGTTTTTGTTTGTTTTTTGTTTTTTTGTCGGTCATGGGCCTGGGCACTGTCCCTGAGTTCTTTTGCTCAAGACTAGTGTTCTACTACTTTGAGTCACAGAACCACTTCCAGCTTTCTGATAGTTAATTAGAGATAAGAGTCTCAGAGACTTTTCTGCCCAGACTGACTTTGAACCTCAATCCTCAGATCTCAACCTCCTGAGTAGCTAGGATACACCAATGCATAAGCATAAGCATAACAGGGAAGAGTGAAAATTGGTAGCAAGTATCTTTTCCCCATTTAAGAACTCTGTGCTAGTCCCGGCCACTCAGAAGGTAGACATTGGAAGGCTCATAGTTTGAGAACAGTCCCTGCAAAAAGCTAATAGGACCCCAATGGATAAATCAACATTAGGACTGGATGTGGCTTAGTGGTAGAGTGCTTGCCTAGCATGCACAAAGCCCTGAGTTTGATTCCTCAGTACCACATAAACAAAAAAGCCAGAAGTGGCGCTGTGGCTCAAGTGGTAGAGTGCTCGCCTTGAGCAAAAGAAGCTCAGGGCTGAGCCCAGGCCCTGAATTCAAGCCCCAGGATTGGCAAAAAAAAAAAACAAAAAAACAAAAAAAACAAAAAACAGACAGCATGGTGTATACTTGTGACCTCAGCTATCCAGGAGACCATAGGTAAGAGGATGGCAATTTGACCCCAGTCCCAGACAAAAAACGAAAGACCCTACTGATTGAAAATTTAAGTGGATCAAGTAGTAGAGCTCCTAATAAAAAAAGCACAAGGCCCCCGTACTGAAAGGAAGGGCAGAGAGAGGAAGAGAGGAGGAGATGAGGGAAGAAACTGACTGGGAAGAGAGTGTAAAGGGAAGGGGAAGGAAAATGAAAAAGGAGGGAAAAGAGAAGGGAATGGAAAGAGCTGTAAGCAATCGTATGCAAACCAGATATATGAATAACTACATCAAGCTCATGAAGTGGGACCAAACAGATCATGCCTCCAGATGCTGCTCACTGAGAACCTTTAATTCTTTAAAACAGAAAAAGCCTTAAGTCTCATCAAAATGCAGACAATGCTGAGATTAAAGATAAAAATTAAAGCAATAGGAGAATTCTAGACAAGACAATAAAAATGAAACTATGGAAATTTTTAAAGAGCAGTTCTAAATTTTATCTTGAAGAATAAATATGTAAAACATAGCCAGGGTAGAGAAAAGTGCAAAATCAAAAAATCTTGACCAAATGTATATAAAATGTGTAATTAAGTGATAGTAATTAAAGCTTATTGTAGCACTAAGTCTCAGAACATGGGAATTGTATAAAATATTAAAAGGAGCTCCCAAAATTATGTGAGAATTTAGCACATTATAAACTGGGCATGGTAGCACATGCCTGCCATCCAGTTACTCAGGACACAAGACAGGAAGACTTTGAGGCCAGTCCAAGCAAAGTTAGCCAGACCCTACCTCACAAACAAAATAGAGACAAAAAGACTGAAGCCATAGCTAAAGTAGTGGAGTCCTTGTCTAGTTTTCATGAAATACTGGGTTCAATCACCAATACTGCAAACAAAAAATCAGATTTTACTATATTATAATCACTTATTAAATGGGAATTTCCAACTTGGAGAGTTCTTTTAGCTATCAAATTAAAATAATTATACAATGTATATATTTATTAGAAAGCACATTTTACAATATTTCTTCTTATTATACAATAAGAAGAAAAAACAAGTAAACTTACAAAACAAGAAAAATTATAAATGAACACATCTCAAACAACAACTATCCCTGGGGTGGTGGCACATACTTGCAATCAATCACGAGGTATCACACACACACATAAAAACTGAGATTGAAGATTGAAAAACTGCAACTGAAACATATACAGCCAGGTGGGAATTAATATACTTCAAACATATCATGCAGTTTGAATTGCTAAGAACAAAAAAATGAACACTGGATTTTCAACAAAAGAAAGGCATACTAGCAAGAAAATAACAAACACAGAAAACAGGGACAAAAATACATAATCAAAAACATGAGGAAAAGCTCGATATTGCTTATTATTAAAGAAAGAAAAACTAACCAATAGCTAGTAGGTAGAACTCAGAAAATGCTTTCAGAAATCAATTTCAGTTTACTATGCTTACACAACAAGCCCTGTGAGGCTGGGGGTTTTTTGTTGTTGGTTTTGTGTTTTGCCATTGTTTTTCAATTTAAAAATGAATTCTAAAATGGTGTTGTCATTTTTTAGTCCCCGAAAACACTGTTCATTTCAGAACCTAAAATATCCAATGCTATGTAATACAATTACATTTAGAAGCCATGCTGTTCAGAGATAATCAAGTTTAAGTGAAGTAGTTGTGAACAGTGCTCCCATTACCTCTGCAAATGTTAACAGCTTTTACTTGCTGCCATTTGTGAAATTAACTCCTGAGGACAGGCCACCTGGAGATTTAATATGATTTAAGCACAACAGGCCTCAATCTCAATTTGCTAATTCCATTTATGTCCTAGAAACCTGGATAAAAACCCTCACTCATTGTAATGACTTAGAAAGCTTCCAGCTCATTTAAAAAAAAAAATTTGCCCAACATTATCCCAGAATAATTATACATTATTTCATTTTCCCTTGATATGAATGGTTTATTGTCAGTGGGGTCTCTCAAATCACACTGTGCTTGAATTCTGATTGCACCTTTTTTTGTTGCTGTTGTGGTGAGGGCCTTAAAAATATAAATAAGTAAATAAATAAACAAACAAATAAATGTATGTAAAAATAGAAAGCCTTTAACCCCTTGGGATGGAAACAGCAAAGTTAGTATAATGACTTGTCTCATGAACTTGGGAAAATGAAATACAAAGGGGTCATGACTGAACACAACGTTAATGGCATGTTAAGCCAATACAAAAATCAGTGGCTTTTTCTTAATGCAGCCCCTAGGGTACGGCAGGGAAGGGAAGGGTCTGGCTTGCCTTCAGAACTCTAAGCTTCCACAATGTGGTGCTTCAAGGTGCCAACCAACCTCTGGGCGTCTTAGATCCGCACTCACCAGCTCCGGAACGAAACTCCGAGGCTGGAGTTTCCTCCACTTCCGCCGGGACTCTTTGCGGAACGGACCAATGAGAACACAACTTTGCGGGCCCGGCTGACCGGTGTCCTCAGGCGCTTCCGGCCGGGCCCACAGCCCGGCGCTGCGGGGAAGGAAGCCCGGCTCAGCCGGACGCGCGTCGTTATGTGGCGTTCGCTGGCTCGCGCCCGCGCGCCGCTCCTCCGGGTGCCCTGGTCAGGTCAGGAGGCCCTCCCCCCACTTTTCTCCTCCTCTCCCACCCTCCAGTGAAGGATTTCTCCAATCCATGGCGGCCCCTGCGCGGTCCTCCCGGAGTACCGGTTAGGGGCTGCGCTTCCTCCCTCCACCCCAGCCACCGAGGGACGATCACAGCCCCGTCTCGGGGAACCGGTGCCCAGGAACCTCCATGAGCTTCTTGGGGGGAACTGAGGCTGTGATCCTTCTTAGTGTAGCTCGCCTCCCCACCTCTAGACAGCTAAGACTTTGGCCTAAGGTGTATGTACCTCACTAGCCCTCGCTCTGGTCGCCTTGGTCGTTTGATTTTGATTTGTCTTTGTAGATTCTTGGACAGCCGCTCCCGCCAGTGCGGGCCTCAAGACGCTGCTTCCAGTGCCAACTTTTGAAGGTGAGAACTGAACCTGTCGTCTTCCTATTTGAGGGTCTTTGATCTGATGGGACCCCACAAAGTAGAAAACGTCAGAGCGTTCTTGTGCTTCATCTTCCCATGCAATAAACACGTATGGCAGGCATACCGTGCGGCCAGTATTCTGAGTACTGAAGATATCTCCGTGGCCCATGCTCCACACAGCCAGAGGTAAATGACCTCCAACTTGGAGTTTTGATGGTCTAGTCCCAAAGAGATGACAGATATGCAGTCATAGAACAATAGTGAGTGAAAACAATAATTTGTACATATATTTTTTTACCAATTTCTTAAAAATATACTGAAAACCTCAGGGAGAAAAATGCAGGAACCCTGGGTACATGTGTTGCTGAACTGCGATGTCCTGGAAGTTTTTTGTTTGGTTGGTTTTTTTGTTTGTTTGTTTTGCCGGTAATGGGGCCTGAACTCTGTCCCTCAGCTCTTCAGCTCAAGGCTAGCGCTCTACCGGAGCCACAGCGCCACTTTCGGCTTTTTCTGTTTATGTGGTGCTGAAGAATCGAACCCAGGGCCTCATGCTTGCAAGGCATGCACTCTACCGCTGAGCTACCTTCCCAGCCCCATCCTGGAAGTTCTTATCAGGTTGTAGATGAAAGAAAATAATTACTTTCTCTGTAGTTGCTCCCTTCCATAAGGGAGCAGGACAATTTCTGTAACTTGGAACAGTGCTTATTTTGTATTTCTACTTGGTATTTCCTTAAGGGCTCCTATTTTATTTTCCCTCATGGAACCACAGTTTGTTTCACTGTAGAAATGGCTTTTAATAATGACAAGTTCTTTTCCCTGTCCCTGAATTGTCAGGTGAAAATGGTAAAAATGTGGTATGTCTGGCCCAGAGTTGTGCCCACTCAATCCAGGACACTGTTGCACACTGTAGGAATTTTGAGTGTGCCAACATTAAAAACCTCTGCATATATAAAAAGAAACAGCATTAATTAGAGGATTCCTACCTTGGAAATTTACCAATAAAAATGTGGCAGACATAGAGAACTTGGATAGTTACCTAAGTTCTTTTCCACTATCTCATTAACATCCAGAGAACAGTAGTTTTTTTTTTTTTTTGGGGGGGGGGAGGTTTTTTTGTTGTTGTCGGTTGTGAGGCCTGAACTCTGGGCCTGGGCACTGTCCCTCAGCAATTCAGCTCAAGGCTAGCACTCTACCACTTGAGCCACAGCATCACTTCCAGCTTTTTCTGCTTATGTGGTGCTGAGGAATTGAACCCAGGGCCTCATGCATGCAAGGCAAGCACTCTATCACTGAGCCACCTCCCCAGCCCCCTTTGTGTTTTTTTGTTTTGTTTTGTTTTTTAAGAAGAATCATGCTATCTGTCTTGGCTGTTTTTAACTAGATGGTCTAGACCAAATGAAAAAATTTCTCTAGGCCTCGAGTTCCCTTTCTACAAAATAGAAGTATTACCTGCCTAATGTTTCTTGGTATAGGTGACTAATATGTATATGTGTGTATATATATGTATATATACATATATGTGTATATGTATATGTGTGTATTTGTTCAACTTTTTAGAGTTTGAACTTTAAAAGGGTGGAAACCGTAAACAATAACAACTGAAGCTGCTATAAGTGTTAGAGCACACCTATAATCTGGGCAAAAGGAGCTCAAGTTTTTTGAGGCCAGTTTGGACTATACAGCTTGACTTTGTTTCTCACTCCCCACACACACACCCAAAAAAAAAAAAAAATAGCTAGTGTTGTTTTAAAAATTTTAAAAAGCCAGGTGCTGGTGGCTCACACCTGTAATCCTAGTACTCAGGAAGCTGAGAGCTGAGGATCATGGTTCAAAGCCAGCCCTGGCAGGAAAGTCCATGTGACTCTTGTCTTCAATTAACTACCACAAAATTGGAAGTGAAGCTGTGCCTCAAGTGCATCAGAGGATTAGCCTTAAGCAAAAAAACTCAGGGACATTACCCAAACCTGAGTTCAAGCCCCAGGACTAGCACATATATATATTTCCAAACAGACCCTATTTGTACTGTTGCAAAGATGGTATTTAATAAGGGCATTTTGATTTGGGAGTTAATGTTTTGCTGCCAGAGTTTTAGAAACATTTGCCTTTTAAGTATTGACATAGCCAAAAAGTTTTTGAAGAAAATGTAGTAACATACCTTCGGAATTACTGTTCTGTAGTATCCTTAAGCGGTCACCTGATTGTTAAGTCTTCATGGGAAGGAAATGGTCCTTTGAGACGTGTAGCAATACTTACTTACCCTTGATCATCTGTGCTCCTTTTAGATGTTTCTATTCCTGATAAACCCAAGCTTAAATTTGTTGAAAGGGCACCCCTTGTCCCAAAAGTAAGAAGAGAACCTAAAAACCTGAAAGACATTCGGGGCCCTTCCACTGAAGCTACTGAGTTCACAGAAGGCAATTTTGCAATTTTGGTGAGTAATGAAAGGGATTAACAAAATTTCGTACTCGAGTCACTTCTAGTCTCTTCTTCCACAGGGCTTATTAGAACTACCTCACACAGACACTACCTGCTAGTTGCTCTTTTAACTGATGTACATAGAAGCTACTGGGTATCCAGAAAACATGTGAGTTAGAGATCTTTTTTTTTTAAATCTGGAGACGAAAATGCAGGGGAGATATTCCAAGTCCCCCACTGAACACTGAGGATGGTACAGAACTCTGGGCATCATTAGTATCATAGCATTGTCATGCTCTGGCAGTTGATCTAACAGCTAGATACCTACCACATACTAACAGGGCAAGGATACACCGGACAAAGGCAGTCTCTGGTGGGATGAAGCAGAGGAGGCTCGTGTGAGATTTTTTTTCTCTTGCTACTCAAAAAAACATGCAGTCTGAAACTTCAGGATTTTGTATTTCGTGAGTCTCCGTTTAATATTTCAGACCCTGGTTTGAGGCTGACCACTTGTGAGATTACAGAAAGTGAAAATGCAGATGGGGAGCACAGGGATACCAAATAAAAGAGCAGCAAAACCAAGAGGCGACCTACTTTTCCCAGACTCAAATTCCTTTCAAGCCTCTAGTAAAAATAAGTTTGTCAGCCAGGCACTGGTGGCTCACACTTATAATCCTGGCTACTCAGGAGGCTGAGATCTGAGGCTCACGGTTCAAAGCCAGCCCAGGTAGGAAGAGCCAAAAGTAGAGCTGTGTCTCACAGTGGTAGAGCACTAGCCTTGAGCACAAAAGCTCAGACAGTGCCCAGACCCTGAGTTCAAGCCATAGAACCAGCAGAAAACTTAGGATAAGGACAGCTGTTTTCTTATTTGAGTAGCTTCCATAGAGACAATGTGAATAGCTACACAGATGTATGTGCACCATGATTAATGGAACATTCCATTGTACCACTCGAGCGACATTTAAACTCCTGTTCCCACTGCCTGCAGGAGCCGCCACTCCTGGCTTCCTCTTAAACTCATCACACCCTGTGTTTGGTCAGGCTTTTTACATAAGCTGTTCCTCTGCCTGGAACTCTTCCACAAGCACATTTTTATAATTCTGTCCTCTGCGTTAAATGTCACCTTCTCAGAGAAGCATTCCCTGCCTTGTTCTCAGCCTTGTTTTCCATTATTAATGTGCCCTACTCTTTCCCTTCACATTACTAACTAGAACTTAGCTTATTTTCATGTGTATCATGGAAGCCACAGTTACTATAAAAGGAGAGTCATAATGGAGTGGATAAGGATCCTGGGTCACTAATATTTCTGCTTCTCCCACTCACTTTTAGGCACTGGGAGGTGGTTACCTCCATTGGGGCCATTTTGAAATGATGCGCCTGACAATCAACCGCTCTATGGACCCAAAGAACATGTTTGCTCTCTGGCGAGTCCCAGCCCCTTTCAAGCCCATCACCCGCAAAGGTGTCGGGCAGCGCATGGGGGGAGGCAAAGGCGCCATTGATCACTATGTGACCCCCGTGAAGGCTGGCCGCCTCATAGTAGAGATGGGGGGGCGCTGTGAATTCAAAGAGGTGCAGGGTTTCCTGGAGCAGGTTGCCCACAAGTTGCCTTTCCCAGCGAAGGCTGTGAGTCGCGAGACTCTGGAGAAGATGCGGGAACTTCAAGAGGAAAAAGAACGAAACAACCAAAACCCCTGGACCTTTGAGCGTATAGTCACCGCCAACATGCTGGGCATCCGGAAGGTGTTAAGTCCGTATGACTTGACCCAGAAGGGGCGATACTGGGGCAAGTTCTACTTGCCGGAACGCATATAGCGACAGCACCGGAATACAGTGCTAGCTACTGAGAGAAGGAATCAGCATTCTTATTCTCCGCCAGCCCTCATCATCTTTGGGTGACACTAACATGGTTCTCTTTGCAGGGGAGAAGGGGGTATTCAGGCTTTGAACTCAGAGCCTTTTGCTTCCTATCGCTGAGCCATGCCTCAGGGTCTAACCACTCACTAATTGCTGTTGAGCCCTTCAGAAATGAAGCATGATTGGTGAGAGCTCTTGATTCTTCTGGATTATAAAATAAATGTCTTCAGAGCTGAAACAGATGTTTGCGTTTTGTACCTCCAGTGCACCTCTGACAATGCACCTCTGACTGTTGTTTATGTGTGCACTTTCAGGAGCTAGCTTCTAGGATATTGTACTAGTTATAAACACATCTTGGTGAATAACAAAAATAAATAAAGACAGTCCATATGTGAAGATTCAACAGGTATTTATTTTTGCCCAGTCACCCATCTCCTCAGTCTTGGAAGGTAATGTTGGACATATGACAAGGATCTTTCAGCAAGAGAAATGGTAACAAAAGTCAGACTTGTGTGGTGCTCCCTGGGTCTGCAATTCACCAAGGAAAGCCATGTGCTGTACAGCACACACATTGTCATTGCTGGAGGAATGTGATTCAAAACCCCGATTCCAGCTCCCTACTTGGCTATAACATGATTAATGTGTTTTTCAGAACTAACCAGTGGTAGGCAATCTAAAGGAAACACAAGTGGATAGAATTATTAAACCATCTGCTTTGGAAAGTAGGTAGGGGGGAAATAAAAAAGCCAGCACACCAATGTCATTCTGATCCAGCTTTCTAAAAAATTAAGATTTCCAGCAAAGAAAAATAAGAATTTACTGTCAAAAAGTATAAATTACAGTCTAGACAGCTGGATGGCTCAAGCCTGTCACCATTTAGTAAACACTGCTACTTTTAAACCTAAACCAACTGAGTCGAGACCTGAAGCATGTTTGGAAGTGTCTGTACATTGCTGGTCAACTTTGCAGCTAACGGCGTGAAGCAGCAGAGCCCAAGTGAAGGCCCTGTCCCACCTCACAGCTTACCCAACACCTTCACCTATCTGTTAGGGATCACACCATATGGCGACTGCTGGGAGCTCAGTAATAGTCTGAACCTGTTTCTTTTGTTAGAAGTATGTATTAATAAACCACCATCCTGGGACCAGCCATCTCTGCTAAATGAGAGGCTACTGATAGGACTCCACCATTATCACTCATAAGAAAAGCACTTCAAAGTATACTTGGTAGGGGGCGGGGGGGGGGGGCCTGTTGCAGGTTTTTGTCATTTGGTGTTTGTTTTTAATTTTTGTTCATCTAATGGTGTTTAAGTGCTCAGTTGTCTAGGCAGGCACTCTACTAGAGCCAGGTTCCCAACATGGAGGACCAGCCTTTAGCCCCTCATAGTAACAAGCTGTATTCCTATAAAAAGTCAGATTCTAAGAGCTGAACCTAGGGACTCACCTGTGGAGGAGCCCAGAGCTAGATTAGGAGGTGAACCAGCAGGTGTTGCGGCACCTGTTGAGTAGCAGGCACAGTGCTAAGCAGTTGGGACACCGCAGGCCTGGGGCCTGTCCTTCAGCCCTCGCTTCAGAGACTATTGGGCCCTGCAGAAGGGAGGCTACCGCAGGCCAAGGGTGAGACTTAAGCACAGAAGTAACAAGGACGCTACTCACAGCAGTTCACTTAAGACCCTGTGGAACTGGGTGTGCTGCAGTACCTGCCTCTTTGCCCCCATCTATCCCTGGCCGTGCACACTGCTGGAACCAACTACTTATTGCTGTGCTCCATCCTCACGCCTGCCCAGTTTCTATACTTATTCTCCTTTCACACACTTTTAACAAGCAGTTGACTGCTGCTCTGGGTCATAAGAAGGTTCCTAAGAAAAAGAGGCATAGATGATGAGTCTGCAGTGGAGAAGTGGCAGCACCACGGAGGAAGAGGAAGGTGACAAATGCCAGTCGAGGATCCGGCTGTGACAGCAGAAGGAGGTAACAAGACTGGAAGGAAAAACGGATTATATAGCATGGTGCTCATGGCTGGGATCAGTGCCTCTCCTATAGGGGTGAAAGACGAGTCGAAGTCTGTGCTAGCTTCCCCTACACTTGGGGGAAGAAATGTAACTGTACCGTGTTTAGTCCACAGAGCTCAGCGCTCACCTAATTTAAGAACTAACCTTTGTTCCTTTGGCCATTCCCAGATGCCAAGGCTCAAATTTTGAAGCTCAAATCAATACGTTAGAGGAGTTCAAAGCATTCTTCTACTTATGAGACAAACTACTATCTTCTGTTTCTTCTACTTATGAGACAAACTACTATCTTCTGTTTCCTCTTCTCACCTGCTACCAACTCATTCCTCAGGCTCTTTTGTCCCTGAAACATCCCTGTCCTTAGTTCTCTCTAACCTTTACATATAACCTCCCCAACCCATCCAGGTTAGGGAACCTGGTCAAAGTCCCCAGGACACAAGTGTCGAATAAAACAGGCCTAATGTTCCCCAGACAAGAAGAGCTCACCTTCTTTAGGCAAATATGCCCCCAATGGTAGAAGCCAAGATGATGGCAAGTATAATGCAGCAGATCATGATCATGATCTTCTTCTGCTCATCCAGACAAAAGAAGAAAAAGCACATGAGAAATGGCATCACCACGCATGTAGACATTTATGACTGGAGGGAGACAGGTGCATTTGGACATGGAAGAGGGTTGGAGGGGACAGGGAGCAGGAGAAAGGGATGGATCTGGCTTTCCGGAACCCAGAGTGTCTGCAGAATGTGTCCAGGTAAGAGTTTCAAACATGAGATTACCCAGAATGTCAGCAGATGTTGAGTGTGTTGACTTTTCTTCCTTGATTCTTTCATAGGCAACTCCTCAACTCAAAACTCAAATACCCTTAGACTTCACTGGGGGGGTAAAGGGCGGGGGGGGGGGGGGGGGTCAAAATTTGAACCAAAATTTGTACTGCACTTTGGAACCAGGTGGTTGAGATTTTTCATCCCACTCCAAACCTAAACAAAAATCACCATGAGGTGGCAGCAGATCACCAAGTTTTACAGGGAGATGGAGCCAGAGTATATATCAATCAATATAAAGTCATTTATTTTTTTAAATTAGCAATAAAATAATCAAGTTTACATTTAAAAAAATACAACAAAAAAAAAAAACCCTTCACATGTTACATTCCAAACTTTAAGCTTTGTGTCTCAATTTCAGAAGAGAGCAAAGGCCTCTGATTGGAGTATGTTCCCCTTGTTGCTGGAGCCAGCTCCTGACATCATAGCCATAGGAGGAGGGCATCCCTGTGGCTCTGTCTGGGTGCTAGGTGATGACTGGATAAGGAGCCTTTGCAGAGGAAGCTAACAGGCAGTGCCTAGATTAAAGCACTCACCCTATCTAGAAAGCATTAGCTTCAGAGCTGAAATACAGCTAGTACCCAAAAATCAAGGAGATCATTAGGTACCTAAGAGGCTTAACAGTGAGTTACAGCCAATGCACGTGAGGATATCCCATCTGTTTCTTCCTCTATGACAAGCATTAGAGGTGACAAAGAACCTATCACCCTCATTAACCAGGTAGCAGGAAGGGCCATCCCATACTGCCAGGTCTCTCCCATACAACCATACAAATTAGCGCAAGACAGAACTGAGTCCCAGAGCCACGTGAGTAATATCAGCTTGCTATGCGAAGTTCTTCAAACAAACCTAGAGCTGCCTAGCAGATAGAGTAAGTGTCGGTACATGCCGCCTCTCACCTGCCGTGCAGAAGCATTTAATGGGAATCAACTCAGTCCTGATTGCCCCGAGTACTCAGCCAGGAAGCAAGCTTCCTGATGGCCCAGGAAGATCCTATTTCTACCATGATTTGTTTTTACATGTCCCTTACATAACTTTTAGCCTAGCTTAATTACTTTTTTTTTTTAAGGACATAGTACCTTCCACTTCTAGCTTCCTACTTCCTGAGAAATAGACACATATTCTATATACATTCCACACACAATTACAAAAATAAACCTGGAGTGATTGAATTACTTGCACAGTCTCATGAAGCATTTGCAGTCTGAGACTCTAGCACCTTATCCCCAGCCCATGTCTACATCCCTTATTTTTGGCCTCAAAGCAATGGCTTCACCAAGAGGGAACAGCCGGTTTCTAAGAATCAGATATAGAAACCAACATTCCACACCCTCAGCCTTTGCACGTGGTAACCTCAGATGACTACTTCAATCTTGGCCCCTCTTTGAGTAAACGTGACAGAATGCAACACAGAAAAAGATCAAATTGGCCCCAGAGCTTAATTTACCAAGAGCCCAATTAAAGGTTGAGCTTCAAACAAGTTAACTTTTCAGACCAAAATGCTATCTGTCAGTCCGTCCTGTTTTCAGGACTCGGGACAACAAGCGAACATAGACACATCTGGATATCACAACCAGTTGTGAGGACTGGAATCCCGCTAGGTAGAAGTCTCTAATCCAAATCTATGCCAAAGGTAGGAGAATCCTCTGCTTTGTTAAAGATACTCCTTTAAAAAGAAAATACATTGCAATTACTGGGAGAATACTCCATGAGGTAGAAATGCAGCACCCTAGGATGCCTCACACCAGCCTTCCCAGGTAAGAGGCATAATTTGACACCACAGGGACAAGGAAAGACGGGTTTGGTTCCAGGAGGGAAGGTGCTGAAGGTGCTGGGGCAGGATGTGACTTTGAGGAGACCTTGGGGTTGCAACAAGTGGATGCGATTCCATCAGGGCTAGATCGCTGAGGCAGGTCCGAGGCTGGTTACAAGGAAACAAAGGAGCCAGGCCCCCCTCACTCTCAGGAGGGCCATTCAAACTCTACTCCCCTCTGAAGACAAGGGTGGCCATAGCAGGCTGGAGTGAAATCGGATTCTAAGGCAGGGAGAGGAGGAGCTGGTCAGTGTGCAGGCTGATGGTGAGGAACAGCAGGAAAAACCGGCCACAAACCTAGAAGGTGGACAGCAAAAGTCAGAAATTGCTGAGCTGGAAGCCTGTACCTGTAATCTTAACTACTCAGAAGGCTGAGATTTGAGGGTCAGGTTCAAAGCCAGGCCAGGCAGAAAAATCCATTAGACTTTTAACCTCCAGTTAACTAGCAAAAGGTTGGTGTGGTTCAAGAAGTAGAGCAGCAGCCTTGAGAGGAGTAAAGAAAACGGATTATAAGAAGGACAACAATGCGAAAGGCAACATTAAACGATGCCAACAAACTTAAGGACAGAATTGGAATTAACTATTCCACTGTAAATGAACAAAATCTACAGGCATTTTAGGCTTATGTGATATACCTCTGTCATTCATGGCTGGCACTCTACCACTTGAGCCACACCTCCAGTTCTGACTTCTTTTTGGTTAACTGGAGAGAAGAGTCTTATGGTGGATTTGTCTTTCAGGCTGGTTTTGAAACAAAATCATCAAGACCTTTGCCTGCTAAGTAACTAGGATTATAGGTATGAGCTACCAGCACCTGGCTGTATACAAGATCTGGAAACTTTCCGGTACTCCTATCTTCTCCATGAACCCCTTAACCACACACATTTTCTCTTAGAATATGGGCAGGCACAACAGAAGGAATATCGAAACGTCCAGGTGACATATTACAGCTGCTCCATATTACAAACTCTGCAAATCTGGGCAAATTTCTTAACTTCGTTGAACTTCAATGGACTTCCACATCTGTAAATTGGAACGTATGACAGTATCATAGAGCTATAGCTGCCATTCACCTAGAAAGTATACACAAGATGGCTTTGCCTTCTCTCCTGTTCAGAGACCTCACTGCCAATGGACTACCACGTAATGGTCTTAAGTAGAGAATATGGGGGGGAAAACAATGGCAGCCCTCTAAACTGCTAAGCCAGCTAGTGTCTCATAAATGGAGTTAGACCGCTACACATTATATATTTGACTCCTCATCTTTGAAGAGTTACCTCCTCAAGAAGAGTTCATTTACCTCTGTTCCTGGAGTTAGGAATGACAGTTAAGGCATACCCCTGATTCACAAGACATCTTTCACCTCACAAGGAAGATGAAAAGATAAATATTACAGCTTTTAAAAATTTTACCATATGTTTCAGTGAGATAGTTAAGACTCAGAACTCAAGCTTTACAAGCAAGAAGCCATTATAGACTAGCTGGGAAATGCATGGGGCGGGGTGGTGGGAGGAAGGGGGGAGGGGACAAACTATGAAATGCCAATGAGAGGCTGGTCACCTCACTGCTGCTGAAGTTAGTGATAAAATCATCTTACTTTCAGACCTTCCAGTCAGACCACTGGAGCAAAATTAAAGAAGAATTTAATTAAATGTTCAATAACTGGATTTTATACCCAGGACTGACACTGAAGGATCAGCCATGGGCATCAACATGGAAGGGAAGTACCTACCAAGTCAAAATGCTTTTATCTAAGCCAGGCATATTAGTGATTGTCTGTAATCCCAGATACTTGGGAGGTAAAGACAGTAAGATTACAAATATAAAGTCAAGGTAACAAAAGAGACCCTATCTCAAGAACAAAATATAAACAAAAAGACTGGACCCATGCCTTAAGTGATGGACAAATTGGCCTAGCATGTGTGAGGAACTGAGTTCAAACCCTAGTATCAAGGGACAAAAATAAAAAAAAAAAGAAAGAAAGAAAGCTTGTACCTATTGGCTCAGTGTTTCAACATCTATGAATCAAGAAACAGTAAAAAAAAAAAGGGGGCTGGGAAGGTGGCTCAGTGGTAGAGCACTTGCCTTGCATGAATGAGGCCCTGGATTCGATTCCTCAGCACCACATAAGCAAAAAGAAAAAAGCCAGAAGTGGTGCTGTGGCTCAAGTGGTAGAGCGCTAGCCTTGAGCTGAAGAGCTGAGAGCCAGAGCCCAGGCCCAGAGTTCAGGCCCCACAACTGGACCCAAAAAAAAAGAAAGAAACAGTAAAAAAAAAAAAAAAATTAAAAATAGAAAGTCATACTGTTGAGAGCAAAATAACAGCATCAACTCCAACACTGAGGAAGTGTTATGTATTTAAATATATCCACAGTCTTATGCTGAAAATGAGATTTTAAAAAATATTTTAGTGATGTGCAATGATGCATATGGTTTTGTAACTATGCTCAGAACTATAGTTACTGTAGTCTGAATTATGTAAAACTGTGTGTGGGGGGGGTGGTCAAGAGAACAGGCTACAGATTATCAGCAATAATACTATAATTTCCTTTCCTTCGTCTGTATTTGTAGCCCTTTGAAACAATACATGCTATGCTTTCTGAAGAAAAAAGTATTTTATATGTCACATAGTCCCAATAGCCAAGTTAACTGCTATTTAAGCTGAGCTAGTAGTCAACTGTATTTTATTTAACAAATTTTAAAGACTTGCTAAATAACTTAAATAATTTAATTTGTTAAATGATTTAGAATTTTAGTAGCCTCACGTTAATTGGGGGGGGGGGGGGGGGAGGGCTTGTAGGGCTCAGGTCCTGGGCTCCATCCCTGAGCATTTTTTGCTCAAGGCTAGTGCTCTACTGCTTTGAGCCACAGTACCACTTCTGTTTTTCAGGTGTTTAAGGAGGTAAGAGTCTCATGGTGACTTTTAATCCTGAGCTGGCTTCAAACCACAATCTTCAGATCTCAGCCTCCTTGAGTGGCTAGGATTCTAGGCATGAGCTACCAGCACTTGGCTTTAGTCTAACACTTAAAGTCACAATCCTCTAAGGTCCTCTAGACTTTGTATACAATGGCAAATGGCTACTACATTTTACAAAAAAAAAAGCCAAGATATAGTAAAGCAAATACTCTCTTGGTCCCTTTGTGGCAACGTGAACTTGGCCCTGATACTTCTTTTGAAACTGAGCTCCTCTATATGTTGGGAGCCGACAGTAAAGCTCTAAGGCCATCTTGACCCTGTGTTCACTTGAAGACACGTACAAGGAACTGGCTTACTTAAAAAACACCAGGTGCCCGGGATTGCTTTGCTATGTCTGCAGAGTTTGTTTTACTTTCTACCAGTTGACCTTGTCTTGTTTTTACTGCACTCTGTTTTTACTGAAATTTTCCTTGTTTTTCTGGACTACAGTAATCTTATGTTACCTCTTGAATTCTAATTGTATATATTAGGGAAAGTTAAAAATAAATGGTGCTGCAGTCTTGAGCTGCAGACCTCCCGACCCCATCCTTTGTCTTATGTCTTTATTTTTCTCGTCCTCGCCCCCTAATTCAGGATTCCCTTTCGTTGCCGGCAGGCTCCAGCATCTATGTGTAAACTGTATATTAAACTGTATTATCTGTAATGTACATTGTAAACTACCTTTACCTGTGGTAAAGATTCAAAGTTGTGCCGGGCGCCGGTGGCTCAGACCTGTAATCCTAGCTACCCAGGAGGCTGAGATCTGAGGATCGCGGTTCAAAGCCAGCCCGGGCAGGAAAGTTTGTGAGACTCTTTATCTCCGATAAACCGCTAGAAAACCCGAAGTGGTGCTGTGGCTCAAGTGGTAGAGCGCTCACCTTGAGCTGAAGAGCACAAGGACAGCGCCCAAGCCCAGAGTTCAAGCCCCACGACCGACAAAAAAAAAAAAAAAAGATTGCTTGCCACAACTTACTGCAAAAATATTAGCTATTCCCTTATTCAAGCTCTAAAACAGTCACCCACAAAGCTCTCAGAGAACTCAACCCTTAATTTAAAAAATAATAATAATTAGGTTTAAAAAAATGAACAGGACATGAAAAGCAAAACCCAACATCCATGGAAAACCAGGAAAGAACTCAGAAGGCAGACCCCAGATCCGTGACATAGATGGTACCCAACACCCACCATGTTTCCTGGAAAGGAGAGTAAGATGCTTGGGCAACAACCAGGAGAGGGGCAAACACAAGGTAAGGTAGACAACACACAGAACAGATTTTTCAGCATAAGAACAGAAGACCTGAACCACGGATGGCAGTCAGAACTCCGAAATGGAATGTAAAGGAAATGAAAGAATCCACAGGCTACCGAAAGCTTTTGACAGTTCACTGTGCCAAAGGACAGTCAATAAAGAAAGTAAAATTTGAAATCTCGGGCTAATGTCCTAATAAGGAGCCAACCCACAGTTGGGAAGAACCATTCATTTACTTACATTTCAGTGCCAGAGTCCCTCGGGCCACTCATTTCAGCCCAACGGAAAGGCCAATAATCAATGCTAAAATACCCAGCAACACAACTACTACCACAATGATAATTATCAATTTCTGGAGAAAAGAATAAGACAAAAAAAAATCATTACTATTTCTTAAAGAACAAACCATCTAAAACTCAACCCCCTCTCGTTTCTATACAGGTAGCATTTTATTAACCAAATAAGCAGCTTAGGATATTTTACATTTCTTCAATTGCATCTTGACTAGCAATGCAACCGACAGAAATATGGCTCAGCTCACACAATATCTGCACAAATATACTAAGAGTCAATATTATACCATCCCCAAATAGCAACTGGACAAGATGTAAAGTGACTCTGTTTTCTTCTGCTAGAATGAACTGTAAAGATGTTTTCTGATATCGTTCTAATTCCAGTTCATCTGTGCCCGCCTAGAGTCAATCAACCCCTACCTGTCTGACCAGGTGCACTGAGCAGGTGCTAAAGTGTGACCCAGCATGGCTTTATCATACAAAATAACATCCCATCTCTCTAAATACCTATGTAAGCAATAGGTACAGTTGAAAGAAAAGCAAAGAACTAAGGAACAAAAATATCAGAGTCCAAAGGAAATCAAGAAGAGCAAAAGGAAGACATGAGGCAGAGCCGGATACCCACAGTCAGTAGAGAAGCAAAGCAGTCGTGGAGCCACAAGGCCAGAAGAGGGAGCAAACAGTGTGGCCAAAAGAGCGTGACTGAAATCTCAATTTGAATCTCAGCTCCTAACCTTACCAGGTGGCTTGAAGCCAGATACTGAACCTCTGACCTTCAACTGCTTCCTCTAAAAGTTGAAAAAACAAGGTACTTTCCCTCGCTGGGAGCTAATGTGTACACAGCAAGGAGGACTGTCCTAGGTTTGAGCTAGAGGAAAGCAGAAGGAGGTCCTTCAGGGAAGACGGTGAAGAGGAGAGGAGTCAGGTGTGTGAACGTCTGAAAGGATCCTGAGCTGCATTCAAGAAAAGAGCAGCAGGACACCTGTGTGTGCCCGGCACCCATCCTGCAGGACCACCTTCCAAGTCTGGGTTCCTGAGCAAGAACACGTGAGCCAGATCCATACAAGGCATCCTCAGAAGGCCGGGCAGGAAGCTAGTCTCTATGGAAAGGCTGGTGTAGGGGCTTTTGGATGAGGCCAGGACACAGAGGGAAGGCGCAGGCTCTAAGACACAGGTGCGAGTGGCTGGAGAGAGAGGAGACGAGGAGACTAGTGGGGCGCAAGGCGCTCACCCTGCGTGCTTCACTCTGATACTTGACAGCCTTTTTGGTGTCGGCCACCGCCCGTTCCACGAAGCCCACTGACTGGTCCATGTTGTTCTCAATACGATCAATCATGGCTCCCTTTTGCCACGTGTGAGAGGCGATAGCAGCAGAAACGGGAAGAGGGTGCAGAGAGAGAGAGAGAGAGAGAGAGAGAGACATCGCACAAACCATCTTCTCTGAAAACAGCAAGAGAATCTCACCTTCCGGGCCTGACCCTGATACTTCACAGCTCTTTTCGTTTCGTCCCGGGCCTTCTCCACGTGGTCCACCGTGTGCAAGACATTCAACTCTATGTTATCTAACATTTCCCCCTGCAAGGAACAGACATGCGTCACACACCCAGTGAACCCGGCCACACCACAGTCCCAGCTAAGGTAGGGGAGAGGCCCACTTGGCATCCAGAAATCTGACAACGGAGCCTTCTGAGCATGACTACCTGTAGCCCCTTGGTTGGCGGAGGGCGGGGGGGGGGGGTGGGGGGGGGGCGCGGGTCACTCATTCAAGAGGCATTTCTCTGTGCCCAGCACTGTGTTAGACACAAACTTTCTAGGTGCCTGATTTATCCTCTGAGGAATTCCACTCCCATCTTTTTCTTCTTTTGCCACTTAAGCATGGGGTGCAAGAACCAAATCAAGACTATCCCATGCTCTAAACCATCACCAAGTTGTCAGCCTCTAAACAGCTATAGAGCGGTAGCTACAAGCACACACAGTAGGTGTTCTATGAATATCTGACATCTAGAACATTTGCTGTCTTCCAAGAGAAATTCCCAGGCCCCTTTCAAGTGACAGATAAGATTTCTCCATGCTGCTCAGTGACATCTTCTTCTTTAGGCAGCAGGTTCTTGCAAAGCTTTCCAACCTTTTCCTGGCTATTATTTCTTGGGCATCTGAGGATGGGCATTCTGCTCGCTCATCTGCCTGGGCCTTCCTCAACCTAACCCATCACCATACGGCCCTCATAACCAGAGCAAAGCACTTACCATCGCTTCCATCACAACCCAGATCCTCGGCAAGGCAGTGGGAGGGGGAGAGAGAAAGGAGGGATAGAGAAGCTTGAGAAAGAGTCTCAAAGGTCACAAGAGAAAGAGAGAAGCACCCAGCCCCTGAGCAGAGAGCTTATGAGTCAAGGAGAGCGTGGGCTTCAACTAGGATCTGCAGTCTGTCTACTAAGGAAGCATTTCCCAGGCCTGTCCAGTGGCCGAACAGCTGGGGAAGTTCCTGGTAAAAGCGGCACAGGGTGATGACCCATCACAAGTACTAGAAGTCATGTGGGCACCTACGCAGGCAATATAGAATTCCATCCTGTGCCAGGTGCCAGTGGCTCACGCCTGTAATTCTATCTACTCAGAAGAACGAGCTCTGGAATAAACAAAAACCACAATTTCGAGCCCAGCCTAAGTAGAAAAATTCCCTAAACGCCATCTCCAAAATAACGAATAGCAAACAGGGCTGGAGGCATGGCTTAAGTTGATAGAGTGCCAGCCTGGCAAGGATAAGGCCCTGAGTTCAAGCCTCGGTATCACCAAAAGTAAAACTCAATCCCTCAGCAAGTATGTCTGGGTGGAAAAGCTGTCAGATGAAGTACCATGAATGCTTCAAATCTGTCTGTAAACATTCTGTTCTATTTCTTCATTTAAGTTTGCTCTTGTTCCATACCAAGGAGTGCAAAAACTCTTAGAGAAACATGGGTGAACAAAGCGTTAAGTGGAGAATAGTAAAAGCATCTGGCTTTGTTTTAGTTTTTTGCTTGTTACTTTCGATAGGCCCTCACTAGGAAGCCTGCCTTGGCCTCTCGAGTGCTGAAATTACAGATGTTTACCAGCATACCCAGCTTCAGACCCTCTATATCTTCATGTTTCACTAAAATTTTCACTGAGAATTGAACAAAGGGACACTTCCAATATCATCAGAGAAATAGTTCATATCTCAAGAAACCCTCGCTTTAATTCTTTAAAGAAAAAGGAGGAGGGAGGGAGGAAGTAAGATCCTGAGGCTGAGTGAAACAGGTAATTGACATAAACATCAAAGCCTCCATTCACAAGGAATGTCTGGGAGACTAAAGCAACAGGCCCTAATGACAAAGCTGAGGTGTCAGCATCTGATGGGATCAGATTCTTATGAATGGAACAAATGGATCTCTCTGTCCATCCACTACACAAATTCCCTGACTCTCCCGCTCCACCTCACCCGCCCTTCACCATACTCAGGAGAAGCCAAGCTTTCCTCCCCTCCCTCCCCAGGAGCCCTGCTGCGGTTACCTGATTCTCCACCAGCATGGCGATGTCCATAAACATGTCGTGGAGCTCCTTGATGCTGTTCTCCAGCCTCACAATGTCCTTGTGTCGGCCCTCGATCTCACTGAGGGCTTGCTTGGAAATCTGAGAGTCGATGATCTACAACAGGCCATGCACAGTCAGGCCGTGAGGCCCACTGCAGGCCGCCCTGCCCCTGCCAGAGCAGGTGAAGCTCCCAGGTCAATCCCTGTTCATGGCACCCAGGTCACTCACCCCCGAAGTAAAGATGGCAGGGTTGCCGCTCTCCAGCATCTCCTCCAGCTCCTCATCGGTCGTCTTTTTGCCAGCTTGGTAACAGAAGAAGTAGAACATCAAATATAAGACAAAAGCATAACCACACTTTAGAAGTTCCCTGGAAGCTAGGAACATGGCATCTTTACTAGAGAGAACTGGGCCTCCACAAAACTTCACCAGTAGCCTCCTGACTCTTCTGGTTGCTCTCTCAGTCCAACTCATCCTCAACGTTTTCAGCAATCAGTGCTCATCCAAAAACACGTATCACAATGTTTACGTTTCTTCCTGGCTTAGACGATGACCTAGCCCTACTGCGTACACCTTGGAGTTCAAGGCCCTCAAGGTAACTCACAGTTGATGGGTAGGTTTCCCTCAGTCTTCTTAACTTTACCCCGCAGCCCCAAACACACCCTCTCCCAGACCCTGGACAGCCTGCCACTCCTAAACACACTTGCTTTTTTTTTTTTTCCTCCTTGATAACTCTTGGCTCATTCAATTCCTTCAAAGATTTAATAGTATGGAAGAAAGCACATATTCCCTCCAGGGCCCCGTCTTCCATATTATTAAATTCCCAGAAGGCAGAGCTTTATAAAATTCTTGATTCCTGGTAGCAACTAGCAGCGTGGTTTTCTCCTCTAGATGAGGAAGGGCTGGATCTATAGGAGTACAATTACTCGGGCCACTCCTCGGCCTAAGGAACAGCACTCAGGATGTGTCGATGCCGTAACATGTGCACAAGGCACAAAATATGACCCAGAGCCCACAAGCAGGACCGCTGCTTTGTTCTCCCAGTGTCTCAAGATTTCAACTGGACAGAAATGGCAGAAAAAGTTGGTAGCGAGGACTACACCAAACTTCAAATACATACTTATTTCAAGCTGCCGTTGGATTCGCCCTTTGCTGCGTTCACGGAAGTCCACCTGAGCCTCGTTGTATTTGGTCATCACTTCCACAAACTTCCGCGAGAGGACGGAGTGCTAAGGGAGCAAAGTTACATGAGGAAGCTCCCCAGGAGGTGAAAGAAAGGGGGAAAGCCTGTAAACTGTTGTAGAATCCCCTTCCCACTTCATAAGGCCTGTGCTACGTGGGGTCCCTAGACCCGCTGGGAGCTGTGACTGGGTGCAGGAAGTATGAATGGATGGTGTGTATTGAAGAAGGGCTGATGCCACCAGAAGAGTGCGGGTTTGTGTGTGTTATCTTATGTCTGAGTGAAGACACTAGTTTCTGAGTCTTGGACCTTACTCGGTGATTCTGTCCAAAGTGAGTGCCTGTGGGTACTTCCTTACCTTACTGCTTCCTGATGTCCTGTTAGCTGCCCCTTGGATTGTGCCCTTCTATCTGTAAATGAAACCACCCAGCGCTAACATGGACTCTTTACTCTCTGCATCCACTGTCACAGTGACTGCTGGATGGTACCAGCAAAACTAGAGCACCACTGGCCTTGAAATCAAAAGACCAAATAAATAAAAGATCCTACATTCTGGCTTCCTAGTGTTGTGGTCTTGGGAAAAGTCCACTACCCTTTGTTTCCATACCTATTTATTTGCTTGGCTGACTTCACATAGTAATTGTCAGATGAAACAAGAAAATCTCTAGGAATCTCAAGAGCCCTGCACCTACTTGGACAAGTAGCATTTATCGAGTGCAGCCTTGGCTTGCCTTCTAAAGATGTCAGCCTCCCTTTCCACATGGAATGTCTGCCAAAGATCCTGGAGTTTACCCCACCTGATCTTCCCAACTGTCCTTGCTTATAAGTAGATAAAGTCTCTCAATAGCCTTGGATGCCAAAGCTCAGACCTTCCTGGTTGTTATTCCTTGCTCATCTCTCCTCATCAAGCCCCAACAATTTCTCCTTCACAAATCACCAATATTATTCTTCCAAACCTACTACCACCTTGAAAATTCAGACCAAAATCACCACAGAAACCCCACCGGGGATCTACCAGCCTCTTCCTTCTTCTCCACTCATAGCTTTCCAACAGCTACCATAAGATCCTCCATAACACATGGCAGCCTGAAACAAAGGACTATAGGCTACAAGATCAGAGCCAAGGGCTGGGAATGTGGCTTAGTAGTAGAGTGCTTGCCTAGCATGCATGAAGCCCTGGGTTTGACTCCTCAGTACCACATACACAGAAAAAGCTGGAAGTGTGGATGTGGCTCAAGGGGTAGAGTTCTAGCTTTGAGCAAAAGAAGCTCAGTGACAGCGCCCAGGCCCTGAGTTCAAGCCCCAGGACTGGCCAAAAAAAAGGATCAGAGTCAAATCACAGCCTGGTATTCAGTAATACTTACTGAATTTACAGCCTCTGCTCTCTAACCAGAATGTCTTTCTCCAGATAAGCTGCTCTCTGCTTGTCTGTCCCTCACTACCACTCACCAGCACCACCACCACTGCTGCCAATGTATGTCCACATGCATGCACCCGCCCACTCCCACCGCCACGTCCCTCAAAGAGGGGGAATGACCTGAGTCTGACTACACTCCTACCAGACCAACACCCAACTTCCTCTGGCAACCAGCTAATTCTCCTTAGATCATTCAATGCTGAGAGCACCATGTATTTAGTTATGTCTTCTTACACTATTCTCGCTTGGGTCCTATATGAGTATCTTGTGCCACTTGAATGTCATATTGAATGTGTGTGTGTGTGTGTGTGTGTGCTGGTCCTGGGGCTTGAACTCAGGTCTTGGGCGCTGTTCCTGAGCTTTTGCGCTAAACGCTAGTGCTCTGCCGCTTGAGCCACAGCTCCACTTGTGGCCTTTTGGGTAGTTAATTGGAGATAAGTGTTTCATGAACTCTCTTGCATTGGACTGGTTTCAAATTGCAATTCTCAGATCTCAAGTCTCCTGAATAGCTATGATTATAGGCATGAGCCACTGGCTCCCAACGTGTATTGGTTGTTTAAGAAGAAGGATCATAGCTTTGCATGTTTGCTCCAAACTTGGTATCTAATAACTTTGAGTCTTTAGAGGGAAGACACCAATTTCTGCTTATACATAGGCTGTGCCCTGGGAACTAGAGGAACCTCCTTTGAGAAGGATCCTGGAAGAAAAGGGCCAAAAAGGCTGGACTCCTGCTTCAATCTCAACAATTCCCTTTTGCCAGGTCTTCAATGGATTTCCAAGGAAAGGAAATTCTAATAATCGGGCGTTTGTTAGACCAGAGACAAACTTACCTGGGATTTCCGAATCCGAAGGTCTGCTGACGACCGGACCTCATCTTCCTCAATGTGCCTCTCCATGCCTAGAGTGGAAGGAGGGTTATTTGAACAACACATCTGCTTTTCCTTCCAAGACACACCGCGGTCAGTGCAGACCTCCCCGCCCACTCTTACACAGAACCCCTGGGGATGGAGTAACGGAGAGACGGCATCTCTATAGAGGTCAGCTACTGTGAGCTGTACACAGACATGCTTCTGTCAGTCCTTCCTGTTACTAAGTCTTCCTTAGCAAAACGGTTAACGGTGTGGGTCTTGGTCACCAAGAGACACGCCCAAATCTGTGCCCTGCCACTAACTAGCTGTGTGACTGAGGAACCACTTAATCTGTTTCCACTGACTCGTTTGCAAAATGGAATAAATACCAGACAGTTGAGTATCCCTAACTTGAAATGCTTGGGATCAAAAGTGTTCTAGAAAAAAAGAAGTGTTTTGGATTTTTTAATACTTGCATGGATATAATGATCTATGTTGAAGACAGACTATAAAATTCATTTTCCTATATACCTCATAACCAAAGCTTGAAGATAATTATATACTGTTTAGGGTTTTTGGTTTTGGTTTTTTTGGGAGGAGGAGGCTGGTGCTGATCCTAGGGCTTAAACTGAGGGCCTGAGTACTGTCCCTGAGCTCTTATGCTCCACTTCTGGCTGTTGGTTGGTTAACTGGAGGTAAGAGTCTCATGGACCTTCCTGCCCGGGCTGTCTTTGAATGGTGATCCTCAGACCTCAGCCTCCTGAGCAACTAGGATTACAGATGTGAGCTCCCAGCTCCCAGCTTTGTGCTGTATTTCTAATGCACCTATTCTTTGAGGTCTGCCACGTGAGTGAAGGTGTGAATTTTCCACTTGTGGTATCATCTTGTTACTCAGAAAGATTCAGACTTTGGAGCAGTGTCAAGTCTGGGTTTTCAGATTTGGACTAGCCAGCCCGTCAGTACCAACTTCATAATATCAATGTGGAGATTAAATAAGCATTCACCTACCACGTTTATCGCAGTGGTAACCATGCTATCATCATCCTCCCTCCTTCCTAATGGCCCTTTATATATACTCACTCAAATACCAGGCTTTGTTTTGCTCTTTTTTTTTTTAAGTTAGTTCTGGGGCTTGAACTCTGGGCCTGGGCACTGTCCCTGAGCTCTTCAGCTCAAGGTGAGCACTCTATCACTTGAGCCACAGTGCCACTTCCAGTTTTCTGGTGGTTCATTGGAGATAAGAGTCTCATGGACTTTTCCTGCCTGGGCTGGCTTTGAACTGTGATCCTCAGATCCCAGCCTCCTGAGTAGCTAGGATTACAGGCATGAGCCACCAGCAACCAGCTTGCTCTGTGCCTTTTGACAGGACCATACTCCATAACCCAAGCTGGCCTCATACTGGCAATCTTCCTGCCTCAGCCTTCTGAATGCTGGAATTACAGGCATGGCACCACCGGCTAACATAGTTATTATAACATATTCTTGGGAAGGAAGTAATAAACTGGGCTGAGTGGTTCACTTTCCCCTCTGATCAACAGTATGAACTTACCAAATATTTTGGGTAATGGAACTAAATCAACCTGTGGGGTACCCCTGGAGAAATGAATCCATGACAACAGTTTCACTGTATGTGATACAGGGGAGGAGGGCAGTAATGAGAAGCTCACCTCAAGAAATACCAAGCCCAGCAAAACATCCACAGACTGAATTATAAACCCTGCATCTACACACCTTTCTAATGGACACAGGTACTGGGGAAACAGAACCATTAAGAGAAAAGAATAAGAACTCAGCCTAAAGTACCAAGTCAGTAGCTGAAAACACACATTAACTCCCATCCCTTTACTTCATGTTTAAATTCTTTCAACTGTAGTCAAGATCCACAAGGAAGGGGCTGGGAAGGTGGCTCAGTGGTAGAGCGCTTGCCTTGCATGCTTGAGGCCCTGGGTTCGATTCCCCAGCACCACATAAGCAAAAAGAAAAAAGCCGGAAGTGGCGCTGTGGCTCAGGTGGTAGAGCACTAGCCTTGAGCTGAAGAGCTGAGGAACAGCGCCCAGGCCCAGAGTTCAGGCCCACTACCGGACCCAAAAACAAAAACAAAACAAAACAAAAAAGATCCACAAGGAAGAAAATTTCTAAGACTACAGTAGATCATTCCAGGGCCAGTACCCATGCAAAGAGTAAAATGGGTGAACACAGGTGTGTGTGTGTGTGTGTGTGTGTGTGTGTGTGTGTGTGTGTGTTGCCATTGATGGTGAACACGGGTGTGTGTGTGTGTGTGTGTGTTGTCATTGATGGTGAAGAGCCCTGGCTCCTCGATCCCTTTGCTCCCTTCTTACTCTTTAATTTGTTCCGGACATTGTTGGCCCTTTTCTTGATCTCTCCTGTGAGCTGCTCAAGGTCATCCTTGGTTTCTGAGTAAACAAAGGAAGTAGAATCGGTTAGAAAAGAGTTACAATAATAACAACAACAATAATAGTAATAATAAACCTTTCTCAGGCACCCACAACCCATGAAGCATTTATCCCAATGTGCTCCCTACAATCTGTCATTACAGTCTGAGAGACAGCTTATTTGTAAAAGGCGTATACAGACGAGGAGTGTTGCTCAGTAACTACAAATCACATGTTTAGTGGCTCAGTGGTAGAGTGCTTGCCTTGCATGCATGAGGCCCTGGGTTCGATTCCTCAGCACCACATAAGCAAAAAGAAAAAAGCCGGAAGTGGCGCTGTGACTCAAGTGGTAGAGCGCTAGCCTTGAGCTGAAGAGCTGAGGAACAGTGCCCAGGCCCAGAGTTCAGGCCCCACGACCGGACCCAAAAAAACAAACAAACAAACAAATCATATGTTTAGTAAGTAAAATCTTGGGCTCCAATCCCCATAGCTGACATAAAATGACAGGAAACCAGGCTTATCCTTCGTCTTCAGGAACAGAAAGTCCAGCCCTAAATTGTACTCTCAAAATGTGGAACTGCTGTTAGGGAAAGCAAAGTTTGCCTCATGGCAGTCACAAAATGTGAGTTTAGGGACAGGAGAGATTCCTTTGAACTTAAACCTCATAGAGGGAAGGGAAATGAACTTACATTTAGGAAGATCTGGAGAGGGGGCTGAGAAACACATTTCAGGGAGGAAAAATAGTCCAAAGACATAGAGGTGGGTCAGAGAATGGAGTACGTGTTGGGTAAGCATTTCTAGTGGGAGCATGAAGGGAAGAGCCGAGAGAGGCCGGGCAGTGGGGGCTTGGAGCTGGAAGAGGAGGCAGGGAGGTTGTGTGATGTGAATACAGCGGGAGGTAATGTGTGTGATCCCCTGCTACTCACAGAAAGAAGGAAAATAAAGACTGGCTCAGCCCCAAGGCAAAGGGTCAGTGTGGGGTGACTCAACTCAGTAAACACTCACTTGGCTCGGGAATTGGTGCAGAGAGAATGATACTGTAGAGTTTCTTCGCTTCTTCCACATGCTCTGAGATCTTGTCGATGTTGAGCCGAGTTTCCTCAATCTATTATCAGAAAGACAAGAACCATCACCATCAAAGAGGAAGAAGAACATGTACAGGGCAGAGATGGATGATTAGAAGAGGTCCCGGGTGCACGCCATCTACCCTCTCCATTTGTGGGAGAAAGTAATGATTGCAAAGGTGTCATCTACCCACCAAGTGGCCTCTTCACAGGTCAGAAAAATTAATCTTAACACACTCGTCATGTAAAAAGCCATACTCAAACATATACAGGGTCATCTGCATATATGCCAATTACTGTATACAGTATACGCAGGTAAACTTACAGTTTAAACAAAATGAATAGCAGGAAGCCGGAATACATGTTAAAGAGGAAGGAGTCACGAGAAAAGAGGAAAGTGAATGGAGAGAGGAAGCATGGGCAAAAACAGTCATAATATTCATGGACAGATATGAGAATGGAACATGATAACTTGGGGCGATGGGTGGGGTTGGGAAAGGTGGGAGAAAATGGTGGAAGGGTGACATTGATCAAGATGGTCACTGATGATCAAGATAGACTGATAAATTGACAGGCTGAATTGGAATCCTCTGTACAACTAATGAAGAATAAAGTGAAGTAAAATAAAAGCCACGTGCTTTTCTCTCTACCTTACGTGGTAGGATTCAGATCAGAATCAAGAATATCGGGAAAACCCATGAAAAGTAAATGAGAAGGAAGATGTCAGCAGATTCTTTAGCTTCGTAAAGTAAGAACTGCATCTACCCGTCTTTGGGAGTGCAAGGGGAGGTACAGAAATGGAGGGGCAAAGGGTGAACAAATGCAGCAATGGTACTTACTGGACACTCTGTTGAAGAATAAACTATACCACGTGTGGGGGGGGGTAGGAGGAGAAAACTGGCAGAGTGCCAAGGCAAAGAGTGACATCATCCAAAAGAAATGTACTCGATACCTGACTGCCATAAATTGTAAACCCTCTGTACATCACCTTTATAATAACAATTAAAAAGAATAATGAAAGAAAGGAAGAACTGAAGAAGGAAGGAAGGAGCTGGAGGGGGAAAGAGCAGCGTGAAAAACAGAAGAATATGAAAAAGGAAAAGAGAGAAGACAGAGGAATAGGGAGATACACGGGTCGTCGGTGAGGAGACAGCCAAGCTGTCTTGGACACACTGCTGTGGTGCACACACAGTCTCTACCAAGCTGACTCCTGCAAATGGTCAGAAGCTAGGGCCAGCGGCCATTTCTGCACATTTGTTGCTTGAGGTGGGTGTTTCCAGCAGCCTTTCATTCCTGGACAGAACTCTATCACAAGACACCACTGGTGCACGAACACTAAAATTTCAGGTCCCTTTAAAAAAAAAATTGCAAGGAGGGGAAGTATTGGGGTTTGACCTCAGGGCTATGGCCCTGGCCTCTCAGGTCTCTTTTCAAATGCACAAGTGAACCAGCACCACAGTGTTTGCTACAGTGTACAGGGGCAACCCATGCAGAAGGGACCTCAACACTCCGATCCATCACCTCACCCCAGAATGAAGGGGCGCGTTCCCACTGCAACTAACCAATGGAAACCTTGTAAAATGCCACGCAGCAGGCTCTTCCCACTGAAGACGAAACAAAAACACAACTCAGTGTGAAAGAATCTCCCAGGGTCCTTTTCTTCAAGTAAATGGTCCACTTCTTTTTAAAAACCTAATGAAAAACGGTAAGCTGGGTGCCAGTGTCTCACACCTGTAATCTTAGCTACTTAGGAGGCTAAGATTTGAGGATCAAGGTTCAAAGCCAGCTCAGACAGAAAACTCTGTGAAACTCTTTATCTCCAGTTAACCAGCAAAAAGCCAGAAGTGGCACCATGGTTCAAGGGGTAGAGTGCTAGCTTTGAGCAAAGAAAACTCAGGGACAGTACCCAGGACCTGAGTTTAAGCCTTAGTACTAGACATAGATAGATAGATAGATAGATAGATAGATAGATAGATAGATAGATAGATAGATAGATAGATAGATAGATAGATAGATAGATACACTTGATGGCAGCTCTCCAAATTGGACAGAAAATAGGCTTAATAAAAAGCTCTCTAACCATCAAATCAATTATCCCTACCCTGCCATAAATATATTGGCTTAGTGCCATACTCGGACTATACAGTCACTTGCCTTAAAATGTAGAATAAAATTTCAATGTAATTACATCATTGGAGTATAAATAAATATACAAGTAGACACTCATATACTTGTGAAGTACTTTAAGCTGGCAAAATACCCTACAAGATGGCATTAGCACCTATATTTAAATGAGAAAGCTCAAGTTTTCAGAAGTCATAGGTCCCATAGCCAGCGGTAGAGAGAGCGTTCAAACACTGCACTCAGACTCCGGCGGGTATGCTTTATCCCCGCGATCTGAGACTTGTCTATTTCTCCATACTGTTTTCTCTTTTAGCAGTCTTGAGCCTACTCAACAATTTAAAAAAATGGGTGGCCTCGGTTGCCACACTTGAACTCTAGACTACCTCCCCAGATTACCACGTGTTACCACACTTGAACTCTAGACTACCTCCCCAGATTACCACGTGTCCCTACCTTCCCCTTTCTCTCTCACACCAACTCCTCCAGTTCAAAAAGCAGCACTGAGTCCACCATGTTTCCACTCCACACTTTTAATGGAATTGATGTTGAAAAAAAAAAAAAAGATTGGATCTTTCTAGAATAAAATACACTAAACAATTTAAAATGAGCAACTTTTGACAACCAAAGAGGTCTTAGATACTACATGGTCAATGGATTTTTGTTGCCTTAGAAAAATGAATCTCTTCTGGAAGATTCGTTGGAGAACTGGACAGTGTCCTGGCCTAAACGTTGATCATCCTGGTCCCTCCTCCCTTGCCTCCCCCTCCCGCACCTGGAGAAGTAGTTGAACAAGGCTTCCTATGGCATCTGGTGGCCTTCCTGACCAGGAGTTCTGGTAGGGGATCAGTAACAACCTACCAGTAGTTAAGTGTCTTGCTTCAGTTTCCTGATGTTTTACTCTCCCATTCAAATAAACTTTGCCTCTGCTCCCACTTCTCCTGCATCGTAATTCTTTAAGACTCCCGCAATATCACTATCTCCACGCAAGACCCGCTACAGAACACACCATCGTCTCTCCCAAGTTCATGTGCACTCAGCTCACATCAGGCTAATGTGCATGTCCTTTCTGAGAAATTGGTTCAGTTGCATTTCACAGAGTTCATGGCCTCATGTTTTTGTCCTTGGACCACAGTTCCCTAAATGAGCACTAAAGAAACAGTGCTGAGGAAACAATCCCCATGCTAAATCTGCAGCTAATGCATCCCAACTTCTTATTGTTACATGTTGATATATTGTGTGTGTGTGTGTGTGTGTGTGTGTGTGTGTGTGTGTGTGTGTGTGTGTGCCAGCCTGGGATTTGAACTCTGGGCCTAGACACTATCCATTGAGCATTTTTGCTCAAGGCTTTTAGTGTACATGCACACACCAGTACTAGGACTTCAAGTTAGAGCCTGAGCCTTTGTGCACTTTACCACTTGAGCAACAGCTCCACTTCCAGCTTGGTGGTAGTTAATCAAAAATAAGAGTCTAACAGTCTCATGGACTTTCCTTCCTAGGCTGGCTTCAAACTGCAATCCTCACATCTCAGCCTCCCAAGTAGCTAGATTAGGTTCTCAGGTGTGAATCACCAGTGCCTGGATATATGTTGACTTTTAAAATGTATGTTCACTGATCTGTCAGCAATATGGGACTTCAGATAATATAGGATTTTAAAAAAATATGAAACAGACTAGTTTTATGCTTAATACAACTGCTGAGTAAATGCTAGATTATAACAATGATAAATATAACAATGATAAATACTTCCTATTTCTGTATGCTAGATAGTACTCTACATATTCCCAAGCGTGTCTCATGTGACTCAAGACCGCAACCCTAATGTTCACAAGATATTCTTGTGTCATCAGAAAGCAATCAAGGAAATCTAAGGACAGCAGGTCCCTCATGGTGAGTGTTGGCAATCATGACTACCATAGTACACTCGTTGGTATCACCTAGCTAAAAGAAGGAAATTCTTTTGAAGTCATAGATGGCCTCTTCCTTCTGGGACCTAATTCACCAGTAGAGTCAAATTAGACAACAGAAAGCAAAACTCCTTTGGAGAACTGTTAGGTTGTGGTGGACTAAGGTGGAAAGGTTAAGCGACAAGCTCTGGTTCTTATTCTTAAGAATTAACCTCTAACCGAGAGCTGGTGGCTTGCAGCTAATCCTAGCTACTCAGAAGGCCAAGATCTGAGGATCTAGGTTGGAAGCCAGCTGGGACAGGAAAAGCCCGAGAGACTCTTATCTCCAATTAACCACAAAAAGCTAGAAATAAAGCTGTGGTTCAAGTGGTAGAGCATTAGCCTTGAGCAAGAGAACACAGGAGCAATGCCCAGGCCAGCACGTGCGCACGCACACACACGCACACGCACGCACACACACACACACACACACACACACAAATTAACTTCTGCTTCCTCTAATCTCCTATGTACTTTAATTGCATTTTTGCATTAATTGTACATTAATTGCATTTTTATTTACAGAGAACTTACTGTGAATCACCCTTCTAAAGTGACAAAAGTAATGCGGTTTGTACAGGCGAATAAATAAATTCTCCTTTTCACAATTCGTACACCTTTGCTTTTCCCCCACAATGACACAACCCAAAACAGTCTTCACATCAGAGCTGCTCAGTCATGTCCGCTTTACTTCCTTTGCTTCAAAAAAACAAAGCAGCACTTCCAAGAAGGAAGGCTTCAGTTAGTCAAGCAACAGATGTCCAAAGTCGCTATCCGGTTTTAACAAGACTAAGTCTAGTGTTTCAACTTTTTAATGAACTATACTGACTCAGAACTATACTGACCAGCAAAAGCACGTTTTCTTAGGCAATAATCTCAAATCAACTGTGTGTATTTGAGCTGTGCATCTCTCAACTTTTATTCAGGAAGACAAAAGCCAATCAGTTACTTTAGCCAAAGCAATATAATACAAG